GTTTTGACGGTGCGGTTTTGTCACCGCGCTTTAGTCACACACGCTTTAGTCTACCGCGGTTTTGTGGTGGAACCAGAACCAATAGTAAAAAAAAATGAATTTCACTGCTTATGACCATTTTTCACACTTACAACCATTGTAGCAATCCCACAGTCATGTGATCAAAATTCAGATGCTTGGCAAATGGCTCATATTTAAGACAAGTTGCAGTATCCCAGGAGTCATGGGATCCCCTTTTGTGACCTTTGACAAGCAAAGTCAATGGGGAAACCCGATTCACTTAACAACCGTGTTACTACTTAAGAACTGCAGTGATTCACTTAACAACTGTGGCAGGAAAAGTAGTCAAATGGGGCAAAACTCACTTCACAAATGTCTTCCTTAGCAACCGAAATTTGGGGCTGAGTTGTGATCATAAATTGAGGAGCACTTGTAAATATTTTACTTGGCAAAATGCTGGTTTTCTATTTCCCAAATGTAATTATTATCTAACACAGAGCTATGAAAATAGTATCCTGACATCATCAGAAAGCTACTGAGAAAAGAAAATTAGAAGTACTAAACTTGAGCTTTAAAAAAGTCATATTTACAGGAATGTATTTGGCTTTCTCCAAAGAGAGCTAATTATAAATGCCACATTATCAATACCTCTCAGCAGTAATTAAAAACGGTGCGATTCTAATTACTAATTACAGGTAACAAAAGGGCAATTCACTGTTTTGCCCATTTAGTACAAAACATACCCATGGCTTATAGTTTAGTATATCATCTATCTCCCCCATGCACCAAAATTCCCACATAAAGCCATTTTATTCTGATCCTCAAATCAAGAAAAGGCCAAAGAAGAACTACTTTGGGTATGGAGTGGAAAGTTTTCCTTCATTAAAGTTGCAGCAGTAGGCTATTACGTCTCACTTAAACTATACTGGAAACAAATCAAAGAGGAACTAATTGCCGTAATATAATTCTTCCACTCTATTGCGTAACAAAGATCGCAACTAAGTCCTGTCAGCTATTATAGCAAGATGGTAAATGGTTATGCCTCAACAATTAAAATAGTATGCTACTTTGGGAGGAGCTGCCAAATGTCAAGGCTCATAACATTGGAGGAGACCATTTAAGCCATACAGTCCAATGCTTGCTTACAGCCAGAACATAAACAACAACACTTCCAAAGAGGATGCGCATCAGTAGTGGGTTTCTATTACTTTTACTACCGGTTTGTTCGTGGATGCGCACACAACACTTCTGCGCATGCACAGAAGCATCCGGGTGGGTGGGTGGACCCTCTCACTGCCGCTACTACCAATCCGGGGCCGAACTGGTAGCAACCCACCTCTAATGCGCATAAACCCACAGATACAACTCATTGTGGATGTACATCAACAAGGGATCTATGACCAATCACAACTTTCTGAGCAAATAATTTGATAGGGCTCCTATGGAGTACAGAGCACTATGCATTCCTACGGTATTAACACATTGAATTTACTTTAATGTTCAATAATGAATCAATTAATTAGCTTTGCTTACCACCAAGCAAGCAACGATTGCAACAATAAAGCAATAAAAGGAACACAGTCTATGATTTTAAAAAGTCAGCAGTTGTTAAGTAAGCAACATAACATGAAAAAGGTAGACTGAAGGATGCTGAACAAATCCTGCTGAAAATCCAGCAAGGTGACTCTCCCGATACTGCAACCTCGACAGAGGAAGGACATTATTTACTCTGTGTTGGGCATCTACCCCTAAGTGATACAATGTTTGGACAGATATAAGGCCTAGGGCATCAAAGCTGGAAATCCCGCATATTTTGTACTGTAAGAAGTTAAACCCATCCCTCTCCAAGAAAAATGAAATATCCTGGGAATTATTGAAAAGGCAGAATATTAGATTTCCCTGGATCAGAAATGGAGGAACATGTTTTTAGGCAGGAAACAGAGTCACTCTTAATAGCCCCCCTCCCCACCTTTGTCAATGGGCCATTAAAAAAGGCTGACCTAATTTATTATACACAACAAAGGTAGATTAACCTTCCACAGAAACTCCCCATACGACACCTGGGAAGAAGCAATGCTTAACCAAACTTGAACTCAAAGCAAAACCTAAAAAGTTGCCCCTGCATGGGCACATGGGAATCTAACAACCAATCAGAATACAAGATCAAGGCCAAAGGCCAGAGAGGGCATAAAACCAGGGACTTTCAGCATCTCGCTCTCTTTTCTTCTTCCCCAAACAGCTGGAAGCATGTGATCCCCATATGATCCTGTCTACCATTAAACCATCTTTCCAAGCAGCCTCCAGGTTTCCAATGTCTTTTTCCCTACTTGGAGCTAAACCCAGAAAGACATTTCTTCCAACAATATTTCATTCGACAATATCTGGTACAATATCTGTTTCTTTTTCCATTCTCCATGGTTACTGCGGAAGCTGAGCAGACATCGACAGCTCCTCTCAATAGCCACCATTTTGACTTTCCCAGAAAGCTCGGCAAAACGTTTGCTAGTACCAAAAGAAAAGAAAAGAAAAGAAAAGAAAAGAAAAGAAAAGAAAAGAAAAGAAAAGAAAAGAAAAGGCTAGGTTCAATGATTGGGTTGGTTCAG